CTAAATGTCTATAAAGGCTCCCTCTGGTGGGGGAGGGTAGCTTGCTTGCTACAAAGACCAGGATAGCACAGATAGAGGATATTTTCTGTACAGGTACTAAAGTAGATTTCTATTGTTAGTATACCCATAGAACCAGGAATGAAACAAAGGATCACTTTCAGAGATTTCTCACAAAGTTTGCAACAGGCAAATTTGTAAAAGTTAGGTGTATTCTAGTATGGGTACATAAAGGTTCCCTGGTACCCATGGTAAGCAGCTGTCAGTGCCAAGCTTTTCTTGCTGAGACACTTGACAGAGGAAAAAAAGAACTCAGAAGATTAGACTGATTACACATAAGTGAGTGAAAGTGTTTTGTTAAACTAGGACAACTGTAATATGAAAAAGTAAGTATAGTCCAAGCTACAAAAGGCTAGGTAGAAATGACAGTATTAGCAAGCTCAGGCTGTATGCGCTAAAGTAGGTTTGGTTTACTTTTAATGTCCATAATAGGATATGGGCCTTCTTTTCAGGATATGAAGCATCTTAGGCAGAAGACTTCCCCCACCCTGAATTAGTGAGGCACTTGCACAATTCCATATTTAAAACAAAATCTATTTCTGCTCTGAAAAGTGATACCATTAGCAGGATCTGTGCCATTCCCCATCCATTTTCATAAAGTAGAAAAGAAAACTCTCTCACTCAGCTCCATAATTCTACCTCACGTTACAAGAAAGTTAGCAAGGGTAAGGACAATCAAATAGCAGCAAGTTGAAATGGCAACAAAAGATTTACTGCAAAACAGCTGATGCATGTTAACTACATCTTCCTGCCCTTCCCCCTGGTAAGTGAAAGCTAAACCCTGACAGCTTAGCTCTATTTTATTCATGGATAAATCATACCAGGTTACCTTACACTTATCATGAAGGAAAAAGCAGCAGACTGACAGTTACACACATCATCCTGAGTGCTGTCAATCTGCTGTACTCTGTTCACACCCTCACATTCCTCTAAAACCAGGTTTGCCAAAAACTCATCTGGACCCAGGGGCAAGATGAGCATCACAAGAATGGTTAATGGACCTAATCAGGCCCATGGTGTCATGTTCCCTGCCCACCCTCCCCTGTGTGCTGTCAGCACTCAACTGGGACCGACAGACATCACAGTCTAGTCTGGCACATGCCACATGGGACAACTCTGAGACCCAGGAGCAGCATCAGGGGGTGGATGACAGGGCTCTGTAGGCCAAATCTTTCAACACCCCTGCTCTATACTATATCAAGTTGAATTAGTGGTGACAACACAGCATGAAAGAGCAGAAAAGAAACTTGAAAATAATTACATGTATTAAAACCAAGTGCTTTCTGAAAAGGGCACTTCAAAGCTACCTCAAATCATTTCTATGAGACAGACCTTTCTAAACCTTTTAAAATCAGGGACTTTGAGTTAGATCTTGAGAACATATTAAGAGGACAAAAATCTAACAGATGTAAAGATGTCTTATCTTATTCTAGCAATTTTCTAAATCAACACTACATATATTTCTGTAAATTGCAGCCAAGTCTGCAATCCTAAAACATGCCCTGTTCACACTAATCATCCTGATGATCCCAAATGCTTAACTGAGTGATAGCAAGTACAGGGGACAACTGATTCAATTCTCATTCCTTCCTTCATTGTTAAATATATATATTATTATTATTAATCAATTCCAGCTATATGGAGGCTTCGGGGAGATGGAGGGAGCTAGTGGTAGTCCCTCTCAAATACCCAAGAATGTAAATAGAACAAAGTCAATTAACTCGTGCTCTTTCCAAACTGTCCAGCCTCTTCAAAAAGGGAATAAAAGTAAACATGTTTTACTGCCCTGTATAGCCCATCAGTGAGTCAGTCTTCTACATGCAGTAGATGAAAAGTTGCATCCCTGAAAAAGAATTATCACTTCCTTGCCAGCTCTTGTGCTGTGTGGTATCCTGGTCTAACTCAGTTCCCAAAAAAAGCAACATCAAAAAGAGGACACAACTACCTTTACCGTAGGGCTTCTAATTGTCATTTTACCCTCCTCTCGTCAGGGCAGAGTACTAATCAGACCGCATTAGTGATTAAGGTAACACTGCTGGTAACATTTGTGGCCTTAGAAACAGATACTTATCTAAAAGTTCCAGGTAACATATCTTAAGCGTCTTCTAAACACCAATTTTAGATTTTTAAGGAACTTAAGTGGTAAATAACTTCAGAAAATAAGTTAGGAAAAACAAGCAGCAAAAAAAAAAAACAAAAACAAAAACAAAAAACCACACAAAAAAACAGCCCCCTTTCCAATGAGAAACAGTACCTGCACAAAGCTTGAGTCATACTTGCATCTTTTACATTTGGATCTGTAGTAAGGCTCCTGATGAGTACTGTAATCATCTGTAATGGGATATGCTGCACAAGGCTTGCCAGTGCAACAGAAGGTTCAAATGAAGCATCTATAATAGTTGAACATGACATCTTGTGAGAAACAAAGGTACATAAACAGCTATGTTTTACTTCTTATCCAAACATACTTAAGTTTTTAGTGTGACTGGAAAACATTTAAAAGACACTGATGCCCTGTCCTAATACTGAAGTTCTTTCTGTATACAGATCAATGTTTATTAAAATGTTAATTTTACTTTATCTGATAGATTCACTTCTTTCATTAAAACTGCCTGACAGATATGGGTAAAGGAAAGTAACAAGTAGTTCAAAGTCTACTTTATTTTGATTGTCTAAAAGAGTAGCGCTTTTCAGTTCGCTAAAATGTTTTTTGGAAGATGATTTGTCACACACTGCGTTAGAAGCCAAGCGTTGTTTTGAGCTGCTTCATTATGATATGGTATATCAGCACTGCTTCAGCGGCAAGGAAGATTTCTATAGCATCTGGATTTTTACAATATCAAGTTTCTAGCTCTTCCAACTCGTTTTCATCCAAAAGCTGTCTTTGCAATGCAGTATCTTCTCAATGAGTCTACATATCAAGTTTATAGGTTTAAGACCAGAAGGGGCCATTACAATCATCTAATCTGATCTGCAGAACACAAGTTGCTGAATTTCAGCCAGTAGCATATGGGAATACATGTTGATGAATGTAATGCAGTATCTTTGATGTGCATTTCCTTAAAACCTTCCTCATCCCAAGAAAAAATGTTCACCCTGGCATTAAAAATTGTAAGTAGAAGCTTGAGTTCCTAGGAAAGTGTCGCCATCTGTCCTAACAGATTAATTTAGGAACCTATATGTTACAACAGTATCCCTGAGAATGAGAATATTATCTCTGAGAATTCAGTCCGAAGCCTCCTACTACACTAGACTAGACAGCAATGAAGGGAGTCCAGCTTCGCCATTTTCCCCCCAAACCAACTGCTAGGAGGGTGACTGACCCCAGGAGAACACTTAAAAATTATAATCACCTTGAGGAATAATATTCAAATTTAACCAGCAGGAGAAAAATAAAGTGTGGTTTTAAACCACACCGAGCCACATTAATGTCACAATTCTCACAGGACGCATGTCAGAGAGTAAGAAGCTTACTCTTAAATTTTTGACTACATGAATATGTACAGGCTTTTTATCATACAGGCACCTGCTCTAGTGATAAGAGTAAAGGTAAGTTCCTGCCTCTCCCAAACCTTGTAAATGACTAAGAGCTTCACAGTGACATGTGGTCATGTTTACAAGCGAGCTTCCTGTTTCTTTGGTCTGCCGGCCATTCCTTAAGTCAGCAAAGGCCAACATTCAACAGGTGCACCACAAGTTAGCCCTGCAGTCTCCCTGAGGGCCACTCCAATCCCCTACCTTTGCCCAATCTGCTATTCTGGTTTCTGTTTCCTATCTCATCCCCCCTGCTCCACTGTCTGCTCCTGGCCAACCTGCTATGCTGGTTTCCACTTCCTGCCCTGCGCCGCCCACCTGACCTACTGTTTTGCTTTCTGTTCCCTGCCCGACCTGCCAGTGCACTGTTTGTCCCCTCCCTGATCCCCTGCAAGCTACGTGCAGACCATGCCTGTGCCATTTGTGGTGTCTGTCCCACAAGGTGGCTGCCCGTGTTGTGTTCCCTTCATGCCCAGCCCCAAAGCCCTCTGGGTGACCCAGCAGGTTCCCCTTCCTCGCAACTGCTTGTGCCTGAGACCTCCGAGTCAGAGGCACTAGACAACAGGCCCTGCTACCCTCTCAGGGGCCATCACAGAACTACATGTGAGCCTGGAGAGCCCCCACTGCTGCCCCCACCCTGCCCTCCCCCCAGCCAGGCCAGCCCCTGCTGGCTGGGCCCTCCTCACCCGTGGAGGAGATAAGGGCGAAGAGCTCCTGCAGGGAGGGCAGCAGGGCATCGGGCTCAGCCTTCCAGAGGGCACGCAGGAGGCTGCTGACCTGGGCCACCTGCGAGACGTAGAGGCGCAGGTCAGGCTCACGGCCGCCCGGTGGGCTCTGGAAGTGCGCCATGGTGCGCACCAGCTGCTGGCAGAAGGCGAGGGCTGGCTTGCGGCCACGGGGCAGGCACTGCGGGAAGTCGGCCAGCAGCTGGCAGAGGCGGGCACAGAGTGGTGGGCCCGGCCGCTCAGCCAGCAGCCGCAGCGCCTCCGCCCGCAGGGCCTCGAAGAGCTCCAGCACCGAGGGACAGCTGATAAGCAGGCGCAGGCCGGCACGCACATAGTCCAACACGGCCGGGTCGCCGCGGCGCCGCTCGCCGTAGCCGCCCCGCAGCAGGCCCAGCACCAGCGCACGGTTGAAGAAGGCCTCGAAGTCGGCGCGGTGGTATCGCGCGTAAGCCTCCAGCACCTGGCGGCCCACCTGGCGCTGGAAGGGGTCGGGGCCCTGCAGGATGAGGCGCGTGCTGAGCGCGAACATGGCGCGGCACTGCGCCTGGCTCAACGGAGTCTCGGCCGATTCCACCACGCGCCGCACGATCACCCGCTTCAGCGGCAGCGGGTGCGACGAGCTCACCAGCCCCTCCAGGATCTTGTCCATTGCCGCCGGAGGGGGGAAGCGGGGGGCCGCGCTCAAGCCCGGCCCGGCCGCGGCCTCCGCATCCGGCCCCGGCTGCCGGGCCACTCACCTCCCGGGAGCTGACCCGGAAGGAAAACCTCGCCCGCCGGAAGCCAGGGATGGAGCAATTGAGATTACTCAGAACGGCCCAAGCCGCTGCGGCCTAGCAACGCGACGCAAACCTCACCCCCCGCTCCTCAGGGCGGCTTCGTGTGGCGTCACTGCCCGCCTGGCCAATCCGACGCGGCCGCGGGAGGGAGGGGGCGGAGTGAGGCGATAGGAGGGGCTGAGTGAGGACGTCAGGTGCTTCTTGCCTACCCTCTCCGCCACCTGCCAGCCCCCAGCCTTGTTCTGAGCGGGGCAACGTTGGGCGCCAACGGCTGGGCCGCGTGGGCAACGCCCTGGCCCCGCGGCCGCCCCCCCCCCGCCCTTCCCGGGGTGGGCTCGGACCGTGCTGGCATCATGCGTGGAGGAAAAGCAAGGGCGCCTTAGAGATTACCTGTGTACGTAGATTCATAGATTGTGAGGCTGAAGGGACCTTGTAAGATCATGGGGTTCAGCCCCCCCCCCCCCCCCCCCCCCCCCCAAGACAACTGGGGTCAAGTGACCCCCAGGAAGGCAACCATCCAGGCTCTTCTATACATACAGACATGTGCATGTATGCACATGTACACATCCAGGTTGTAGCCCTATCGGTCTAGAGGCAAAAGGAATCAGAACTCGTGACAGAGCAGAAGTGATTTGGGCAAAAACAATTACTTTAATGCCAGCGTTTGGGCACAAACACCCTTCTTCAGGAGAAAAGAGTGTACACGTTCTACTGGGGATTCCAGCTTTTCTCTTGAGTCGAATCTGCGTATATAATGAACTGCTCCAAACTGGCGATTTTATCTTCACCTCTCCTATGAAATACAAGCTTTCATTTCTACCCAGGAGAATGTGTACAATCTTTTCTCCTATGCCTGAAGAAGGGTGTTTATGCCCAAAAGTTTGCAATTAAGGATTATTTTTTGCCAAAATTTAGCTGATCTAATAAAAGATGCCACCACTGCCACGAGCTCTGATTCCTGTGTACATATATGTAATGGCAGCCATCAACCGTGTGTGTGTGTGCTCCTTAGACTCACTGTCTCAGGGGTGCATCAGGTCCTGTGCGTAGGAGGGTGCCACGCCAGTGCTCTGGCCCTCAACCCTGTGGCCCCATGGGTCAGAGGAGTGCACAGGGAGAGTGCCCAGGTCTGGCCTCATGATACCCAAATGAGGCACCGGGTGCCTGGACCCACGCTTCGTGCAGCCCAGCTCCTGTCTTGGTCTGCCCATATTGGGCCCCATGTGCCCAGGTCTTGCTGGGCCCTGTCCCCTTGCACTACCCCAGCTCCACATGCCCCATGCCATGTGCAGGGCCTTGCTATTCTGCCTGCAAGCGGGGTGGGAAGTAACCCTGGCAGCAGGGGAGTGGCAATTAACACTGGCATGTCTTACCCTCCTCCCATTGTCACATTTTTGGACCCGTAGGAAGCCCAGCGGGCTGGATGCCATGGCTCAGCAGGCCAGGTCTGACCCCAGGAGTTGAGTGCCCCATGCTAGAGCACAAGGCCAGCTGCCTAAGGGCAGGACTGGGTCCTGCAGGAATTCATCATGAGTTTTGGTTGGCTTCATGAGCCTGAGAAGGGTACAAAAAACCTTGTTACAAGGTGTAAACTGTAATCTTCTGTCCTGTCCCTACGTAATGTGAATGTATCACTAACAGAAGCTGCTCTATCACTGGACTGAACTCAGGGGACAAGTGTGAAAGCAGCTGAGTAAAGTAACCAACCAACCAACCAAACAAGGTAAACCTGTCATAAAACCATTCTTAGTCAGAACACAAAAGCAACTAAAAAGGCCACACGTGCAAAGGGCAGATTACTTTGGATGTGATTTGAATCTAAATAAAGCATTTTTCTTTCTGCTTTTCAAACCCGCCAGTATCACAGAGTCTGGTTTGTCCCAGCACAGGATGGTGCCATATATAACTACATTCTTAACCCATTTAATCCACTAATGGGTTCAAGCCACTCTGTACTTTTGCCATGTCTCTTCCCTCATCTGTAGAAGGCGATAATACAGAGCTGTTGTGATGATTAATTATGAAGAGGCAGCACTCTGATCATATGTGCTAATTATTAATACTATGCAGGAAGTGGTGACTAAGGTAGGTTCTATGCATTTCCAGGTTGCAGCGCAATTACAAACTACTTTGGCTGTTTTGGATGTTGTGGTGTCATCAACAATATCTAATGTGTGTTTGCATTATCATACAACCTTTAATTACATGATCACGTGCCATAACCAGGTATTTCATGGTCCAAAAATGAGGATTGGACAATTAGTGGCCAGCTGTGAACATACTGGTGAGTGAGTTCCTTGTTCAATCTCATATTGGAGCTCTGTGGCAAAAGCAGGGATAGAATCCAGTTTTCTTTAGTAGCACTCCCTTTAGGGGTAGAAATAGTCTATCCTTGCTCCATTCACTGCCCTCCTCCCAACTTATGTAACAAAGGTTGTCTTACAAACAGCATCCTTCAGTTTACTACCAGAGAGCATTTGAGCACTAAACAATGCTGGGGTTCTATATAAAAAAATCAAGGGATCATGTAATTAAAGACTGTATTGCATGAGGGCATTTGGTGTGTTGGATCAGATGTATCATATTTTAGGAAAGACAGGCATAGAAACCACGGTTCTAATGGTTTTGGTATGGGGGTGTTGATTGTAGCAGCAATGGAGATATGTTGATAGGTTAAGCATTTCTTTCAAGGCTATGTCTCACTTGATATCTGTTGAGCAATGGAGTATTTGCTTCTGGTGATGGATTGGACAAGATTAAGAGGTTGTTTGAAACCCAGGAATGGAGGGGTTGGGAATATTTCTCTCAAGATCTGATCTTTGTCCAGTATAGGTTGTAGTTATTTGATTATTCTTTTGTTTGGTTCCAGCATGGGGTGGTAGGTGGCCACCACAGAGGTGTGGTCGCAGGGAATTTCTTATTGTATTGTAGCAGGTTTCTGTGGAGTATTTGGAAAGCTCTTTCAAATGTACAGTCTATTTCTCTGCTGGAGTGTCCTTGTTATATAAAGATATACAAAAAACTACGGTTTCTACGCATGACTTTTCCAAACTATGATGCATCTCATCCAGTTCACCAAATGGCAGCAGCATGAGTGCAACTAAGCAGCAACTATGCACCAGAATGAACTCTCACAGGAAAAATATAAAGACCAGGGACCACATACACCATTTCTCACAGAACAACCATTCCCTCTGACCTTACTATCCTCGTGCTCAAGGAACACCTACCAAACATCTTTAAAAGGCAAACCTGGGAACAAAAATTCATAATCTGGCTGGACACTAGGAACCAAGGATTTGACATTGATATTGGTTTTATGGCTCATGATAATCTACCAGATCTCTGAATTCTCTCCACACATGAAAGGTCAGGTAGACCCTCCTCCCCTTTGATAGGCCTGGATCTCCCAGTAATCAGCTAATTGTCTGTCTGAAACCACTGGGAGTTTTTCTCCCTTCTCTTGGAACTTTTTTTTTTACTATGCTGTGTTGGCTCTCACTGCTCAGACCCAATGAAGAATGTTTTGCATTCAAAAGCTTGTCTAATTCTATCCTAAGTAAACATTTGCATAATTCCTGGGTCATTATACCTACATCCTCACGCTAACACTACCATAACATTAAAAAACAAAGTAAGGGGGAAACCCATTGGAATTCCAACCAGTATAACTATACTGACCCTCTGCATCAGTCATCATAGGTTTGGACCTTTAGATCCACAACAGAGATTTATGCTGTTTGAAATAATGCAGTAACTAGTTGCATTAGTGGGCTGTTATCATGTACATGGACTAAATGCTACAGGGGAAGGAGATTCCCACTTGGTCCCTGGGTTTCAGAGCTTGTCACTGACATGCTGAGGTTGAGAACTTTCTGCTGAGGTTGAGAACTTCTTTCTGCTTCTATTCACCACCTTCACCAGCTCCTATTCTTTCATCTGCTGCTGACGCCTGCCTCTCTCCTTCTCCCCCCCTGAAGGGGGTTCAGCCCCTCCCCTTGATTTTTTTTCTCTTTCCAAGGTGCACCCTGCCACACCACTTTCTACAGCCTCCCATTTTTCACCTCCCTGCACTACAGTCACTGCTTTTCCCATTTCCTCCACACCACTGAGTACCAGTAAAAGGGACAGTGAGAGCACAGAAGAGTCAGGCTGTCTACTCTCAAGTTTTGGTGCCCAGTATTACAATAGCTAGGAGAAGCAATCACAAGGAAAAGTTGTGGTTAGTCCCTGGGTTGGAGCATAATCAGTGCAGACAGATTATTCAGAGGATTTAGATGCTACATCTCTACTTAAGTGTATGCCTACTGAAATTTTTTTCAGGGACTGATAAATTGGCCAAATACAGATCAATATTGTTAAGGAAAGTGCAGAGCCCATTCCTAACACAAGAGAAATTTGCTCTGTCAAATTTCAAGACCCGTTTGAAACAAGGAAGCATTAGAGCCTCTTGATAAAACAGCTGCAAAAAGCAACACATTTTTTTCTTACTTTGTTTTTATAAACAGCTGGATCATTTTACATGATCCATTTTAAAAAAAAAATCAACCTGGCATAGACAGGTCTCTGACAAATTTCAGCTCAAACAAGTAAAATTTGACAATGGGATCAGATCAGACAACGTTAAGTGCTGCCACTAGCTCTAACAAACTTAGCAATTTTCAATGCTCTGTGAGCTCATGTCAGCCAGTGCCATCTCAGCAGTCTCTGGATCTGAGATCTTCCATAAACTCTTCAAAAACATTTACCCTGTCCAGCTGTTAGAAAAAACATCTTTATTTTAGTTTTTCTTTACTTGTTTCTTCATTGGTTACAGACCATTCCTTTACTTCATCTGCTCTTTAAAATCTTGCCCTTTAAAACACCATCACTTTTCACTGATGCCTGATGGTGTAATGACCTACCTTAACGTCCTCAATACCTGTTCTACAACCTTCCATAGAACAGGAATTGTTTTCTGAACAATCTTCTTTGATTTGATACTGGTTTTCAATCTCTACATGTTCTTCTTGCCCTCACTATGACATCTATGTCATTTGCCTGGCA